TGACTTTCAGAATACAAATCAGACTAATTAAAGGCTGTCTCTTATACACATCTAGATGTGTATAAGAGACAGATACTACTTTGTAATAAAAATAAGGTGTACATGCAGACCTTCACCTCCCCTTTTCCAAAGGCTGAAGCTATGATAGCCAGCCCCTCTTCTCCCCTCCCTGATCCACGAAAGCTGATGAATAGAAAGACGGGTGCGTTCTATTCGGGGGAAGACGGGTAGTTAGCCAACCATGAAAGCTGATGAATGGAAACAAAATAGTCACGCCGGATCGCTGCCTGTACTACCCGTCCTCCCCCGAATAGAACGCACGGCCATTACCCATGCATCTGGACGGAAAGTTGCCCCAAATACGGGCGTAATAACCGTGCGTTCTATTCGGGGGAAGACGATACGCCTCAAGGACAGAACAACGAGGCAGAAGGTAACCGAACGGAAGTGAGGACATGGCGGAGGAACAAGCAAAAATGGCCACGTGGCAACGAGTGGTAGAAAAGAAGTGAAGGAGGACTTACCGGTGACTGGCAGGGCTGTGGCCCTCCGCACTGGCCGTAGAGGGGCGCCGAGGCAACGACACAGACCGCCGTGCGTCACTCATAGGTGCTTTTGCGACGATGCGACGAAAAGACGATGTCCCACACACCTATGGATGTGGCTGGTGGTGGGCTGGCCCTGGCTGGTACTGCTTGTGGCTGGTACTGGCTGGTTGGTACGCCTGGGCGACTTCCCGTTGGAACTTACCACCAGTCTCTAACGTACTGGGGAGCTACTCGGATCACAAGGTTGGGGCCCGACGGGGCGTTGTCTTGAAATCCCCAAGATTCGGCAGCCGCGGGGTGTGGGGAGCGCAAGGGCCTCAGTTTTTTTTTTTTCTTTTCCTCTTTTATCAGGGCTCAGTTTTTCTCTCTTTTGTTGTGCGGTACTCTAAAGGAAATAGACGGTCTCGCGTGACCGCACAGTGTTGGGAAAGCACAGAACAGGCCCACGGCCCCTGCGGGGAGCGGTGCGGGGCAGGCCGAGGCAGTCGGGGCGGAGGGAAATGGGAGGGCGCAGGGGGAGAAGCTGGGGGCAGGGAGGAACGGCCTGACTGGTGGCACGGGGGCCGAAACGGTGTGAGGCACCACGGCCGGTGCAAAACGGGAGGACGCTGTCGAGCGCATCGGTCCGGCACCGCACAAAACGGGGCGGGACCCTTCCGGCCGCGTCACGCAGGAGTCGGTCTTATCCTCGTCGCAAATACATAATGGAGCTTCCGCAAGCCGCTCCAGCCGAGTGCACCAGCCATACTTCTCGCGAGCCCCTATGACAGGATAGGGCCTACGTGAGGCACGACTTACCTCCCCCTTACAGGAGCTGTCACCTCCCTTTGGTGGGCGTATCCCCGTCGAGCTACCAGTCCACAGTATAAAAGTTAATCAGTTGCAATCGTAGAGGTGGACCAACCGAGGGCGTTTCTCGTACGCTGTAGCATAGGGGGTACGCATGGTTTTACGCCTCTATCGGACCCGCTGTCGGCGCGAATACCCTTACAAGGGTATCCGCCCTGGGTTTTGCAAGTGACAGAGATTAAGTTTGAGTTGGAATTGTTGAGCAGACTGCGCGAGTTATAGCAGTCTATCGGCTGAAAGTTTGACTAAAATGTCTAGAAGCAGCGAGTGAGTGGGCGCGCGAGTTTAAGGCGCGCGTGATTTTTTTATTTTGTTGATGACTGAAGGGTCGACGTGATCGCCGGCCGGAACCTTTTCTGCTGGTTACTTATTTTCTGATTAAGCTAGGATTAAAAATATTTCTTTTCTCTTCGGTTGGCGTGCTTGCCTGTGACCTGTGCGTACATACGGAGGACGGCATCGACGACAGTATGACTTCTGGAGGCGTTTCGGTAGTTGGGCGCATCGTGCGGTGTCCGTTTATTTAGGCCACCGCCAAAGTTAAACTTAGTTTTGGGCTTAGCGCTATCGGTTATAATATTAAAATTTTGCCAAGGAGATTCAGGGATCGGGGCCGAGTGGCGACGACGAGGGAATATCTGAGTGGTGCGAAAGGGTCGAGGGCCGGCAGGGCCATCCCCTATCCCCTTTGGTGCTGCCGTAGGCGGCGTCCGATCGGTGGTGACACTTTCTAAGTATTTCTTTTTAGTACCGAATCCTTAATAAATTTTTGTTATGCGTCGGCGTGCCGTTGGCTTGGACGCGACGCCGGACTTGGTGGCCATCACGGCAGTCAAGGACCTTGGGCATGCGCCACTTGTGGTGGGTCCGTGGTCGTGGCTTCCCTCGCTTCCCACTTCGGGAGCGTCGATAGCCTGTAGTACAAGGGAATTTGGAGAGCACTTCGAGTGGCCTGTGGGCCGCGGCCGATGGTGGTACAGTCTGCCCCCGACGTCTGGGGTGAGAGGTCTGAGTTGAGCCTACCCCCAGGCCCCGTTGGTGTTGAACCCTGCCTGAGTAGCGACTGGGGCACCAAAGGGGGATTTCGAAGTTCTCAATTGAAAAATTGTCACTACCACTAAAGATCTTCACTGAGGTTGCTCCGTTTGGAGCTGTGTTTCGGGCCTGCCGTAGGCCCGCGCCCTCGCTCCCATGGGCTTTGTCCGTCTGTGGGCGGCCGTTAATGGCCCGAGGTAGCGGCCGACCCCGCACGACCGAATCGGACCCAAAGGGGCAGACCGGGAGGGGGCAATGACAGGGTGGGTGAACCCGGGCGGGAAACCGCACCAGGTACTATGTGGCGGAAAGAAAGGGCAAGTGCGGAGACTGTCCGGGGAGGCTGGCCGGGCAGTGCAGCGCAGCACAGCACAACACCGAAGGGCGGAGGGTTGTTGCGCCAAAGGTAACTGAGTCCTCCGCATTTCTTTGGATAGTCGGGCGTGGAAACAGTGTAGCTACGGACGCTAGGCTGATGAGCAGGGGAGAGCGGAGTGTCGGGGAGTAGGGGTGCGAAGACTGTGAAGGAGAGGGATGAATCGGGGCGGAATCAGGCGCCAAGTGCATGCGGGGTATCATGGAGGCAACGAGCGACGGGCGGTAGGCTGGCAAGGCGCAGAAGGGGACGAAGAAGGAGGGGGGGCAGAGTAAGAATGGTCGAAATGAACCTGGCGCAGTTCCACGTCGGGTACATGCAGCGGAAGGGATGGCGGAAGATGGAGTTGGGCGCAGCGGAGAGCACACAACGCTCTCAATCCTGAATGGAAACGAGAGGGAAGAGGGGCGATCCCAGGGTTTTTGCCCCGGGTGATTCACGTGGTGATGTTAGTTCTGACGCTAGATTAGTAGAACAAGAGTAGGGAAGGAAAGTCGGTGCGCCCGGGCTATGGCAGAGGTGAAGGAAGAGGAGAAGAAGAAACGAGTATCTCGCTCGTTTCCGGTTGGATTCGAGCGAGGAAAGGTTTTATCCTGGGGTTTTGGCCCCGGGCGAAACCAATGGCAGCGTTAGTTTGGATGATAGATGAGTAAATTGGGGGTTAGTAGAAGAGTGTTGCGTGAAGAGATGGCGAGAGGGGCCATGGTAGAAAGAAGAAAGGTCATTTTTCCCACTCGATTCGTAACGAAATCGAGCGAGTGGAGAAGCTCAATTGGGGTTTGAACGTCGGGCGAATCGGACTTTGAAGTCAGCATAAGCAATAAGTTAGTAGGATGAAAGTTAGTAGGAGAGAGTGAGTGCACGAAGGTTACACGACGATGGGCTGTGGAAAACGGGAATGAACCTGTCCGGTTTTTAGTGAAAGATTCGGTTTTTTTTTTTTTTTTTTTTTTTTTTTTTTTTTTTTTTTTTTTTTTTTTTTTTTTTTTTTTTTTTTTTT